ATGCGCTGGGGCGGGTACTTCGGGGGTTGGGTGGAAAAGCTACTATCTATTTAAACTAAATTGATTTTGAAACAAATGGATTGCAAAAAATAATTAAATCAAATACCTAAACACTAATATAATACAATTTTTGCCATCATACACACTTTTTGCCTGTGGTTTGTGTGTTACTTATGTATTGCTATTCTATGGCACTTCTACTATTTATTATTGATGTACTTTCAGTATGAAGTAAATTGCATTCGGGAATTCGAGAGAGAAGCCGGGTCATTCGTATAGTAAGAAATAAATTAGATATATCCCCTGGCCACTAACATGAGAGTTTTTAGATGGCAGAGAGTCCCATGTAATGGAACAGGAATCGACTAAACGTTATTTTATTTTTATAGAAAAATATTTTGATTGTATCTCCCCCCCCCCCCCCCCCCCCAATGCACTAATCAATAAAATGTTATTGTCGATTTACTTAATAAAAGTCGTTTCCATTGTGTATTCACGGTAATTTAAAGCAACAACCTCATATTGCATATAATATAACAAGATTTTCATGTATAAGAAACACATCTGTAGATAAGTATACGCATGATTGACATGTGTGATTACATCATCATATGTAATGTACTTTGTACAAACTGAGGATAAATAAATAAAACTCTGTAATAGATTAAGAGTTGAGCTAAAGCAAGAGATTGATATAGAAGTCCAACGAGGCCTAGAAGATTTTAGGGCGTTGCCAGTGTACAATGATTTCTTCCGATCCACGCCCTTGTTGCATCCGCTGAAACCTAATACTTCCTTTCGGCAAATATATATAAGCCTCCACCAGGGCCAGAAATAAACAGTTACTTCACCATCAGCGGGAGCCCTCGTCGGTTGTGTCCAAGGTCCACCTCATTGACCATGTAGACCAGTAAGAACTTTTCTCAAATCTCCATCTTTCGCTCCTAACTCGACTTTTATCTGTTCACGGAACTTTCCTAGTACAACTGTGTCTCTTCGTTTTTGTATATGGACATTCCCAAGCTTTCCACTCTGACTCGACCACGACTGCCTGTACTCTGTGAAGACTGTTAAAGGTTTTCCAAGGTGCAGAGAGGTACTGGAAAACTCTTCACGCCCTGACTGTCCCTCTCGGTTAACACAGTATAGCGAGAGTCGACAGGATCTCACACCATAGCTTAAGTCGACAGGATTCCACAACGACAGGATTCGACAAGAGTCGACAGGATCTCACACCATAGCTTAAGTCGAAAGGATCTCACATCACAGCTTAAGTCGACAAGATGACCACAGCGAAGTATGACCACAACAAAGAAGGTAAGAAGCCTGACAAGATAGAAACGAGAAAGAGCAGAGACGGAGGAACAATACCGGCCATTCCAACGAAACGACCGAGCAATCTCTCCCCCATTAAGAGACAATATTTGAGAAGGAGGAATCGCCGCCCCAAGGGACCTCTGCAGACCCGCTAACACAGATCGCCAACGCCAGGAGCAAGCTAACAACCCACAACGACACAGCCGAAAATCCCGCAAGACATGGAAACCGAGGAGCGAAGTGGCGAAACCCTGTGAGAAGTTCCCCACTCTCGGCCTGACATCGAAACAATGCTCAAGGTGACAAGCCGCAATCAACTTTACAGAAACTACAAGCTTCTACAAGCCCTACACGGAGCGCCTTCCACGTCAGCAGGACGACAATCAAAGACCAAGTCTCCTGACTGAACTTTAATCAAAACTGTGATTTTTAAAAAACATACATAACTTTTCCCTCAAGCTCACAACTTGATTCCCCATAAATTTTGTGTTTATTTTCATTTTAAGTATTTTTGATTAAATTTTTAACTCTTTTAAAATCATTTCAATTCAATTTTTAAATCTTTAACACTCTCATTTATCAATTTTTATTTTATGTTCAACTAATTTCAAAATTTTATTTCATTACTTTCAATTTTACTTTTTGAAAAATTCGTCAATCACACATTTTTATCAACTTACAAATTTCACATGTCTTTTCTAAATTTACCCAAAATGGCACTATCCAATTCTACAACTTAAAAAAAAAATCATTGTTATTATTTTAAAATACTCTCATCGTATCAAAATTCTAAACGTATTTGTGTGTTTTTCTTAATATCTTATTTTCATTCTAATAATTTAATCAAATACTTGAAATTTTGTTAAAATCATTGTCATAATTACCATTTTATGTAAGCGTCTCAATTCAAATTATTTGTCACTATCACGATATTGCCCTTTTACATGGATCATTTTAGCAACCATAATCAACGATAAAAAATCAAATTTTTAAATAGAAATTAACATAGGTTTGAAACGCACTACTTAATTTCAGAAATCTTTTGTGATTTCTCTCCTGAGAGGCAATATCTCAAAATCATAACATTTGTCCTCCCACAAAACAAGTTAAAAATAAAGATCTCGTCCACTTCCCCGCCAGTATCTAAATAGGTGACCGCCCGCCAAACTTATTATCACCGTTTAATTCCATCATAGTTACATTTCCTCGTCTCTTCATTTTACATGCATAATTAATAATCATCCATACATCTTTCTCAACAAACTTCAACACCCTCACACATCATCTTCTCCAATTGGCAACAATTATTTGTGCGCGACTTCACAAACAAATCCAATTTGGAGCCACACGAGCTCCAAAACGTCGCCCCACTAAACACTCAAATTTTTTACATTATACGTGCCACATCCACTAACAGTCAAAATTTTTCGATATGTTTTGTACAGCCACCACCCATGACTAGTAAATTTGTTATTCATGGTGAAATAGGTTAGATTTAGTACCAAACAACGACTTCCGTGACACTTTGTACAAACTAAGGATAAATAAATAAAACTCTGTAATAGATTAAGAGTTAAGCTAAAGCAAGAGATTGAGATAGAAGTCCAACGAGGCTTAGAAGATGTCAGGGCGTTGCCAGTGTATAATGATTTCTTCCGATCCACGCCCTTGTTGCATCCGCTGAAACCCAATACTTCCTTTTGGCAAATATGTATAAGCCTCCAACAGGGCCAGAAATAAACAGTCACTTCACCATTAACGGGAGCCCTTGTCGGTTGTGTCCAAGGTCCACCTCATTGACCATGTAGACCAGTAAGAACTTTTCTCAAATCTCCATCTTTCGCTCCAAGCTCGACTTTTATCTGTTCACGGAACTTTCCTAGTACAACTGTGTCTCTTCGTTTTTGTATATGGACATTCCCAAGCTTTCCACTCTGACTCGACCACGACTGCCTGTACTCTGTGAAGACTGTTAAAGGTTTTCCAAGGTGCAGAGAGGTACTGGAAAACTCTCCACGCCCTAACTGTCCCTCTCGATTAACACAGTATAGCGAGAGTCGACAGGATCTCACACCATAGCTTAAGTCGACAGGATTCCACAACGACAGGATTCGACAAGAGTCGACAGGATCTCTCAACATAGCTTAAGTCAACAGGATCTCACATCACATATATATATATATATATATATATTTTTTCCTCTGCTTATAATTCGTCTACGAAAAATTAGGCTTATATTTGAGGGATTAAATAAAATTCAGTTTTAATCTTTATAAAACCGCACCATCGAAATTTCGAGCATTTTAGCATTAGCTGATTAAGGGGGTTAAGACAATCAAATCTATCGTTTAGCTAAAATACAGTGATGGACGAAAAAAACTATAATAATTTTCGGCATTCTAATATTTTATTGATAGCGCACTCTGAAAAGGACCTTTACACTATCTATAATACCGTGTACATCAATAAAATTATTTTAAGAGAAAAATCAATTGACAAAAGAGTATATACAAAAATGAGAAATTGAATCCGAAAAATACTAAAGAATAAAATTGTGTTAATGTAATTAGTTGTTTTTGTTTAAATATTTTCTTTTATATCAATATTTTTTAAAATAATTTGATGCAATATTATTAGAGATAACAGATTCGACGTCGAATATTACTTGTGTGTTTCCCCCTGTCAAGTTTTCCCGACTAGTGTAAGTAGTATCGTGTTTGTTTGTATTTTGTACCATTTTGTGGGTACTGAAAATAATAAACATTTATTCATTTTTTCACTAGTAATCTCTGTACCTCTTTCCCGGGAGTTGTTAGATACAAAAGTGCCTTGGCATTCGCTGTGCAGACAGCTGATCGCTGAACTGTCATCTTGTGGGACAATATAGTTCACACCTGCTGGACCTGGAATATCAGCAATGGCTAGCGATGTGGATTAATTCCTGTCCTGTACTGTTCCATACCTTCTGGACCATGATATCAGGAATATCTAGCGAAGTGGATTATCTCTTGTCCTGTACTGTTCCACACCTTCTGGACCTGGAATATCGGGAATATCTAGCGAAGTGGATTATCTCCTGTTCTGTACTGTTCCAAACCTGCTGGATCTGGAATCTCAGCAATGGCTAGCGATATGCATTATCTCCTGTCCTGTACTGTTCCACACCTGCTGGACCTGGAATATCAGCAATGGCTAGCGATGTGGATTATCTCCTGTCTTGTACTGTTCCAAACCGGCTGGACCAGGCCTATCAGCAATGGCTAGCGATGTGGATTATCTCCTGTCCTGTTCCACACCTGCTAGACTTGGAATATCAGCAATGGCTAGCTCTTAATATTATCTCCTGTCCTGTACTGTTCCACACCTGCTGGACCTGGAATATCAGCAAAGGCTAGCGATGTGGATTATCTCCTGTCCTGTCCTGTTCCACACCTGCTGGACCTGGAATATCAGCAATAGCTAGCGATGTGAATTATCTCCTGTCCTTTACTGTTCCACGCCTGCTAGACCTGGAATATCAGCAATGGCTAGCGAAGTGGATTATCTCCTGTCCTGTCCTGTTCCACACCTGCTGGACCTGGAATATCAGCAATGACTAGCAATGTGGATTATCTCCTGTCCTGTCCTGTTCCACACCTGCTGGACCTGGAATATCAGGAATGGCTAGCGATGTTGGTTATCTACAGCTCTGTACTATTCTACAACTCTGACCATTGAATTTGAGCAATGGCTAGTGATGTAGATTATCTACAGTCCTGTACTGTTCTACACCTTCTGGACCTTGAATATCGGCATTGGCTAGCGATGTGGATTATCTCCTTTCCTGTACTGTTCCACACCTGGTGGACCTGGCGTACAGGCAATGGCTAGCGATGTGGATTATCTCACGTCTTGTACTGTTCCACACCTGCTGGACCTGGAATATCAGCAATGGCTAGCGATGTGGATTATCTCCTGTCCTGTACTGTTCCATACCTGCTGGACCTGGAATATCAGGAATGGCTATCGATGTGGATTATTTACAGCCCTGTACTATTCTACAACTCTGACCATTGAATATCACAGCAATGGCTAGTGATGTAGATTATCTACAGTCCTGTACTGTTCTACACCTTATGGACCTGAAATATCAGCAATGGCCGGCGATGTGGATTATCTCCAGTCCTGTACTGTTGCACCCCTGCTTACCTGGAATATCAGCAATGTCTAGCGATGGGGATTATCTCTTGTCCTGTACTGTTCCACATATACTGAACCTGGAATATCAGGAATATCTAGCGATGTGGATTATCTACTGTCTTGTACTGTTCCACATCTGTTGGACCTGGAATATCAGCAATGGCTAGCGATGTGGATTATCTCCTGTCCTGCACTGTTCCACACCTGCTGGACCTGGAATTTCAGCAATGGCTAGCGATGTGGATTATCTCCTGTCTTGTACTCTTCCACACTCGCTGGACCTGGATTATCAGCAATGGCTAGCGATTTGGATTATCTCCTGTCCTATACTGTTCCACACCTGCTGGACCTGGATTATCAGCAATGGCTAGCGATGTGGATTACCTCATGTCCTGTACTGTTCCACACAAGTTGGTACCTTTAACACTATGGCTTCTTAAGATGACAACTGCCTACAATTAGTTGACTTAATATTAAAAATATTTGGAAAATCTTGAATAATCAATGGCAAAACTTCAAAGCGATGTCACCTATTCAATCCATTAGATCCGCCCGGCGAATGTAAGTTCATTGACCTTATAAAGGCGGTACTTGAAGGTTCATTTTTAATTATGGCGTTGAATTTGTTGCTTTGTCCTGTTATCGAAAGGTCTAAGCTTGAGGTTAAAATATTCGTGAAAATTCTACTATATATATATATATCAAGATAGAGATAAACTCGTCTTCTCATATTTCTTGTGTCAAACACTTTTCAAATAAATACTATAGAAGAAGAATCAATAATACAATATTTGTAGCAATCTGGTGTTTCAAATTGACGGAAAGTGTTTAGAAGGTTCATCACTGATGATCCAAACTTTCGCAAATATTTTTCATATACATTTCACTCATTGTAGAAATTGCTGCTAGATTTAAAAATGAACTAGCGCTGAATATTTCTAATCTCAAACCTACAGGCGGCTCTATGTATTATTCTGCGCAGTATCTGTCTATTTGGTGAAGGACTTATGTTAATATTTGGAAATAATCTCAATCTTTTTTTTTTTAGTATAATTTATGAATATTTAAAGATCTATCATGATAATGTATGCTTAAAATTATATATATTAATTTTATTTTATATATACTATGTGTATGTGTAAGAATCGAGAGCATTTCATATATTTTTTTAGGTATAATGGAAGAAGCGCCGCTTTGGACGACATTGTTAAAATCGTGATGATTTTTATACTTTAGAGTTGTTATTTTCTTTAATATAACTATTTCCTGATCATTTTTATACTTTTACTATTTCCTGATCTCTACATGTCCAAATATTAGGGCGCCAGTGGCTGCAGAAAAGCAGACCACAAATTTATTCATCTATGGCACATGTAGAGACCTAAAGCTGTGCCGGCTAGCAATAATGTTGATGGGGAAATTAACCAATCATTTTTTTGGTTAGACAAATTTTTATTTAGACTAATAAAATCTTTCAATGTACATCACGCAGATATATATAAGATTTGAAAAAAATATATAAAAAAACTGTAAATAAGGTTAAAAGGGAGGAGTTTTAATACTATATATATACTTTTTACAAAAGGCCTATCATGCCAAGTCCCATATTATTCCCAACCTACCTCGTCATCTAGCCACCCATGTCCACGATTCGAAAAGGGGCAGCTAAGGCCGCAGCCAGCGGCCTCCGTCCTCCGCAACTCCAAGTCTTTTTGCTTCTCAAGAAAAAAAATCAAATTTTTGTTAAGAAAAAAAAAAGTAAATATCCGAATGTCAATCTAAAAAAAATGTCAATATCCCAAAGATGTCAATATCCCGCTTCCTTTTCCCAGTGTTGCTGAACTCACCCCCCAAGGCTATCATCCCTCTTTCTCTATGAAAATAAAAAATAAAAAAGGCATCTTAAAAAAAATGATAAAAATAAATTAAATATAAAATTATTAAAGAAATATTCACAAAAAAAAATAAAAAATACAAAAATATTGAATTAAAAATAATTTTAAAAATACAATTATTACTGTTGATTCTGGGCATCTTGGGGTCAGCTTGGGAAAGGTTCAGGGCTCGTGGTGGAGCTGGTGCTCTGCATGAAGATGGTGGAGTCAGGTCAAGCACCATAGTTCGGTGGCTTGACTACAGGGAAGGGGTGTCTGAGTCCATCTTGGACTGGCTTGTGGTCAAGTCGGCCACCATCAGACATGTGGCTCGACCACCAGGAAGGGGTGTCTGAGTCCATCTCAGACTAGCTTGATGTTGGTGGGGCCAGGTCATCCACCACAGGTCAGGTGACTTGACCACCAGGAAGGGGAGTCTGAGTCCATCTCAGACTAGCTTGGTGTTGGTGGGGCCAGGTCATCCACCACAGGTCAGGTGGCTTGACTACAGGAAGGGGATCTGAGTCTCTGGCTCGGTGCTGCCAAGGCTAAAGGTGGCTTCAGGCTCCATCTCGACATCTCGCAATCACCAGAGGTTTGTGGCTTAGATGGACATAGGTGGGATATGGTTAGGTTAGGTGGGGTTCTGGGTTACTTTGGCATATTAAGGTCACGAGGTGTCCCAACATATGTATAAAGAGAGAAATCATTAAATATCGTTTTGTGTATTTCATCGATCAAGCTAGCGCGCCGAAAGATTCGACACCCCTGTAAAACAAAGAAACGAGTAAGAGTTAGGCTTATATTGTTTACCGCTACAATAAAGTTTTGTATTTGCTAATATTTGGTCGTACCTTCTCTAAAATCATGACAGCTAGTGTGGCTTATATCTGAGAGTACGTTGGCTACAACATGGTGTTGAGCGTGTAGATAGAGACACCCTGCAATATTGTTGTTGAATGGGAGCACAAGTTAAATGACCGATCTGACGTAAAGACATTATATATTCTGATATAGAGAGATGCTACTTTTACAATAAAGCCCTTTCCTCGTCGGGGTTGACCCGATTTGTCTATGCCGGTTATCACTTCCTAACACTCTTTTATTATATAAAAATAGTATAATTTCACTTCTGTACTATTTTTCATATATTTTGCGTTCTCACGCACTTATGAATTTGAATACCCATTCTTTGAATTTTCAGGAAATCTTTAAAGCCAGTTTTTAGATCTTGAGGTACAGCCTGCACCACACTGACGAGAGAGAACAACCTGATAAACAAACATGGTTGGCTTTTCTTGATTAATTAAGAAAGTGTAATTGGCTAATATTCAGGAATAACTAAAAATAATCAACGGTTAGTTGATATCTATTCTGACAGGTGGCGCAAGCCATCATAATCTCATAACTCTTTCATTAAATCTCCTTCGGAATTGAAAAAAAAAAACAATGCCAAGACCGAGTCTTCATCAACCCAACAGCACATTGACAAACATGTCACATGAAGCCTGGAGTCGTGACAGATTTCCTTAGACGATTGATGCTAACACGTGCCAGGTCACACAAGAGCTTGAGTTTCAGCTGCTGACGCATTCCGAACTGATACAGTCACCACAGTCTGAATACTCCGATCTTCTGTGTCTCCAGTTAACCAAGAACGGCGTTTTTTTATCTCGGAGTATTACTGCGATCTTCTTTGCACGAAGTATTGTTTCCTTTCAATATAAATATAAATTACTGTTAGACTTACAAAGGCTCCGCCTTTACATTAATCAAACAGACCTCAACACCTTGTAAGTTGCACTGGTTTCTACATATATAGGCACGTGAATCATTTTACAAAAAATGTTGTTCCACACACACAATAAGGAACAAATTATAGCAATTAAACTTGAGGCGATATCGCGCCATCTGTATGCGAGTAATGAAACTAATCAGAGAGATATTTTTTCTTCTACAAATAAGACGACTTCTTACTCTCCGTATTGCTAATGGGAAAATATTGACAAGGCCTGGCTCATCACTGGTGAACCCTCCTAGCGTTTTCACCCGTTTAACCAACCATCGCGCTCTACTATTGTATTGAGCTCCACTATTTTTATTTTCCTCTAAAGTAATACAAAGCAGTAACGCGCCACCAACATTAACACGCGAATGTTTTTTTTCACACATCAATCAAACGTCTACTGTCCTCACTGCAATGAAAAAATCTTGGGAGGGCTTGGATCATCAGTGGTGAACCCTCCCAGCAGTTTCTCCAATTTAATCTACCAGACCGCTTCATTAGAGCTCTAATGCTGTATTGGATCATTCTGCTTATATATGCTATACTGAAGGGTGAAATCTCAGAAATGAGGACAGTAAAAGTTTGATTAATGTGTGAAAGAAACATTCGAGTGGTAATGTTTCTATTTGCTTTATAAAATGGGGCGTTATTGCTTTGTGTTTTTTCTAACTGGCCTTGTCCTTATTGTTTGCAGAAGATCATTGCCCGGTGTAATTTTTAATATGTAATTCTACTGTCCTAAAAGCGTATGTCCATAATTTGCTTGAATATCATTTCTAAGATTCCACCCTTCAGTGAAACATATAAAAGCAGAATCGTCCAATATAGTATTAGAGCTCTAAAGAAGCGGTCTGGTTAGATAAAAATGTAGAAACCGTTGGGAGGGTTCACCACTGATTAGCCAAGCCCTCCTAACATT